CAGGGTGTGTCCCAATACACACGGGTCATCCCAAAATTTATTAGCCTTGGTGTCAAACCCATAGCACACTGAACACAAAATATCTCAGTGAGCCTGATACTTTGTGTCCAGTGTACCCAAAGTTAGACCCTGAGAAGCTGAGGTGGTCTGTGGTAAAATTTCCTTGGAGACATGTTGGCACTGGAGCCGCAAGGAGCAAGTCTGCATTTCTCCTCTGGTCTTTCAGTCACTGACGAAAGGTAGTGGATGCTACCTGATACGTTAAAAAATGACCGTTTCCAAAATTATACCCAGTTGCTTGAGTAACTGCTTTATGGCGTACTATTTCCTATCCCCGGCAATAGTCTGATACCCAGGCCACTAGCGGTTCTATATAGGGCCAACATGCATGCATCCAGGAAACTCTTCCCCCTTCCCCGAGTTAGACCATATAGGAAACAGTCTGGCATACAAGCTACTTCCACTGAACACTTATCCAATTTTTATCTGCAATACCATGGTCGTTCTGAGAAAGCGAGTATTAAAGGGGGCCCGCAAGCCCTTTTCCGTAGAACGTAATCGGCCGTTTTAATTCTACGTAGAGCGTAGACGGACCGCTCTAATATTTTTGCGCAGATAGCGTATTCGGCGTTTTAATTCTACGTAATGCGTTGTAGCCACTTGGAATTTATCGTAAAGCGTATAAAAATCGAGAGATTTCCGAATTCAGCGTAGAGCGTTGTCGGGACCCCCCTTGCAGGCCCTCATTAAACACAGGCCGTTATCTGTATCAGAAATTGCCTGTGTCTACTTCTAATTATGAACTGATGAGCTTTGGAAATCCAAGACAACTAGTTTTAGACATACTGAACATTAGTACTCTAAAAGATATAATTCTTTTGACTTTTCCTTAGAATTTGCGATGATCTGACAGAAAATCGGTTCTTGTTTATCCTTCTTTACAACCAGACATCTGCGTTGGTTTTCAGGAGACGGGCTGATTCTTCCATTTCCTCTTTTAAATCAAATCTGACATCTGAATACTTGATTAATGGTGCTATTAGTCTCTGTTCCGAGTTTTACTAGTTTCAGGGGATTAAAAACAGCTTCCTGGTCGTCGATTCTCTCCTGAGATTCGTCAAGATAAAAGGAGTTTATCAAAACATGAATTTACATAATCTGGACAACCTGTTTCTTTTCGTTCTGATCTTTGAAAACGAAAAAAGATTCCCGAATTCGAAGATTTCTTTTTGTCAAGTCGCAAGATAAACTCAGTCCCTACCGCCGCATTTTAGATCGATCAAATTGAAAGATGAGTGCTGACTTCCGTTGTCCTGGGGAGGGGGGCCGTAACAAATCGCTTGGCCCAGATTCGGCCCAGATGTGAGATAAATGGTGTAAATGGGTCCCTCTAAATAGCCTGGCGGTGTACGGGGTCAGCGGGAACGGCTCTGGGAACTGGCTCTGTTTTCCTGTCGTTTGCTGTGTGATGTAGCCTCCTGTGCAGGCCTCCGAGTTTTGATACTGCGTTTTGTATATAGAACTTTTAACGCGTTCTTTTGGCCGCCATCCAACAGCCGCCCAGAGAAAGCGGGTACAAACCTTCTCTCGGCGGCTGGTTGTAGGATGGCCGGCAAAAAACGCGTCAAAAATTCTACAGAACGAACTACCAGACTCGACTAACTACGCTGGCTATAGGATCCTATAGCCTAGTATAGGAGAATATTTGCCAGGGGAGTTTGGCCACCTTGAGGTTTGACAGAAAGGACAGAAAGAAACAATCTACGGCCGGACTCCCCTGGCCAATTTTACTCTATTTTTTGTGTGCCGAATTCTACGATCCGTATTCCCGTAGAAAGCCTAGAAAGGGTCTAGAAAGGCCTGGTGGAGGCTACTAAACTCCCACCCGCCCGGAGGCCTGCACAGGAGGCTAGTGTGAAGAAGAGACGATCTGGGTTGTGTCAGTGTCGGCGTGTAACGTCTTCCATGTGGGGAGTGATGGGGGACTGATGATCGGATGTTTTACTAACTCATCTCTTCCTGTCACACCGCACGGGGTTAGGACGATCTTCCTCAAAACAAGTGGCAGATCTGTTTGTTTGTTTGTTTGTTTGTTTGTTTGTTATCTGGAGAGTAGACTTGTCATTCAGACGTATGGCTGGACTGACAGTAAATAAATAAAGGATAAAGATATGATCAGTTTCGAATCAATTCTGCTTGAGAAAATCAAGGGTCCCTTTTTAAGTTTCGTTCAGTTTTTGTTACATTTGTACTAATATTAATGTTCATTCCTACACTATATCTATGTGCAATCATACAATTATGTTTTGATCACTCACATGAACATACCAGTAACCTTATGGTACCGATCTGATGTTGGTTCAACTTTTCTTTGAATTTTGATAAATGATATCATGATAGCCATTCCTTCACACTAGATAGATCTAGATAGATGATGGGCTCCTTTGCCAAAGAGAGGAAAAAATTAATTTATCGTTCTACTTTCGCTAGACAACCATTTCCTTTCACATTTAACTTATATATCCTCCCACAGGTATTTTGAATGTGTGCCATGAACTTGTCTTCCATGAAGAGCCTTGTTAGTAGTTTATTTATTCGACATTCGGTCTACTGTTGGCGGTAGAACCCAGCGGAACTGATGCCATCCAGATCGTCTGCAGACGACAGCCTCACACGATCAGGCAGGGCCGTTGCTAGGGACGAACCATTCATTGTCAGGGGACACTTTTTTCTATAAAAATGATGTCCATACAGCCATCCCGTAGTACGAAAGGTCTTTTATGAAATGTAGCATACGACATAAATTATTGCAACAGCAACACACCCTTGTTTTCAACATGGTATAACCCGCAATACAACAAAATTACATATCCCGCGGGATGGTTCATTCTCCCTGGGGGGACGTCAGGGTGGCACTGATGGGAAACAGCCAAGGTGCTGATGGCTTCCCATCGGCTTCTATTATCACAGAATTACCCTCCCCACAGGCGTATTAAACTGTTCCAAATTGTTGAACTTGGACAAAGTGGTGAGATCTTTGCTACGTAACGTTACTTCGTTCAGTCGCCATTTTGGGGCGGGGGGTACAAAAAATCAAGGTCACGATCACATGTGTGAGATGTTGGTGAAAACCAGTGTGCGTGTTCGGAGTATTCGTTCGATATCTTCTACTCTCCAAGCAGAGGTTTGGGTTTGGGCTTATTTTTGGCGTGTTTTAGGCTTTTTATCGGGGTTCCTTTCTTGCACTGGATTTTTTTTGGCGTAAAATGATTCCAGTGCAAAAAAGAAACCCCGATGAAAAAGGCCAAAACACGCCAAAAATAAGCCCAAACCCAAACCTCTGCTTGGAGAGTAGATATCTTCCTGTAATGGTGGCAAACATACTTCAGCTGTGACGACAGGCTCGTAGTTCACGCTCGCTAACGGCTTCGATGACAGGTGAATTATGCACGGGTCTTCAATGTCACGGACCCCCGCCAGGGGGCAGTTCAGACCCACCGCAGGCGCTCTTGTAAATCGCCGCGGCTAGGGAGGGACCACCGTCCGTCCGTACAACTTGAACACCCGGGGGAAACTGCGAAAGAGATAGGAACGCAGATAAATGCCACAAAAATTCGAAGCACTGTCCGTTAAGACCCAGGGAGTAAAATTGCAAACCCTATATTTTCATGTGAGAAATGGTGGGCTACTGTTGGAATCCCCCCGCCAAAAGAAAAAAGAAAGAAAGAAAGAAAGAAAGAAAGAAAGAAAGAAAGAAAGAAAGAGGTACAAAACAAAAACGAAGACCTTAGCCACGTTTCCAATTTTAACCATTTTAGAAATAATCTCTAGCTGTTCTGTCGATTTGATATTTGAGAAAGAGGGTTTGAAATGTTTGTTTCTAAACTGTGTTTCAAAATACATCACCCCACCACCCCACCAATGCATGATCATGCATGCGCCAGATTGACATACTGAACCAATCGGAATACCGATACCTTGATAAGTAATAGCCTCCCTGTATCAAGTTTCATCTAATTGATGAAAACGATGAGTGTTGGGGACTATAAGTTGATACTGACCTCACACGACGGCTGTTTGGTAGATATCAACCGGTGGTAGGAGGAGAACGACTCAACCTGCGATCAGGCACGGTTGACACTGATACCCCTGCACAGGAAACTGTGGGAGGGGGGAGGGGGGCAGAACAACGTCTCTAGTACAACAACAACATCTAACGTCTACAGATAAAAAACATGTTTGTCATTTTTTTCACCTAAGCCTTCTTCAGTAAGAAATGTGTAATCTTCATATATCTTCTATCAACTATGTTAAGTTCACGTATCTAAATTTAGTGAAGAAATGAAGTGTAAATACAGTAAAAAAACTAATGTGTCTACGTGATTCAGAGAATAAAGTTATCCGTGCCGAATGACCAGCTTGTTTTGTTACTACTACTGACACGATTTCGAGTATCTCATATATAATATATTTTCATCAAATTTAAGAGGACTATTTGGTCACAATATCAAAGGTTTATTTGTATGGAAGTGTAGGAACATGTGTCATGTTGCTTTTCAAATGTAGGGATATGAAATCACCGAAAATGGGATTTCTACCAATCAATTATCAAAGCTGGCAGCGATTCTTTACACCTAAAACTATTTCCGTCTATTGGGACGAGTTCTTGTACACGTGTGTCATCTATTATAAGTGATCGCATATCTCTGTGTACCCCCTCGGTGAAAACATGCCATCTAGAGTTACCCCTGAGTGGTATCTGGTGTCATATCAGAAGAGCATGTCATCGCCTTTCTACCACCTACTTATCAAACTCCTAATCCGGCCAGAGAATGGCCGTCACTTCACCTCGTGTGCAGGCGGCTCTTCTTTCCCGCCCTTCTCCTGTGGGAAAACCCTCAAGACATGCCCGGTTTCCAGAAGCCAATGGGAAGGCAGGGTTATAACTCTTCTTGACAAGATTTGCATAAATCCCGAGAGGGTTAGCAGAGCATCTGCTGTGCAGGACTCGTGCTTTCGTACCTGGAGTCGTGAGAGCAAGTAACAGTAGCGTACATGTAGCTTAGAAACCACTTTGTCTGTAGAGTTTCTCTCTTAAAACCTTTCGACAAGATCCCGCCTGGGATCGCCTTGTATGTGTCGTTGTGGATTTACGTCTGAAATTCCCCGATCGATCGCTGAGAGGAGCTGTTGCGCGGTTTGACAGGTTGGTCGGTGAATCGGAACGGACAGCCCGGGAACGGTCGTACGCTGTACGTCCGTGTTCTCTTGTCTGAGTGACGGACAGCGCGATCGTGCGGCTCCACAACTTGTCTCAACCGTCCCTAGAAGTTCTCTCTTTTCTCGGGAATAGTCGTCGGGGAAAAGAGGACGCCGTCACAATGATGGCAGTACAGCCCAAGTCGTGTTTCAGTATCGAGTCGCTGGTTTCCAAAGACCCTCCTCGGGTTGACCGGCCGCGGCTGCCGCCTCTGTCGGCGCTGTGGGGGATACCGTGTTGCACGGACACTACCAGCACGGGCTCGGTCGTCCCCAACCTACCTCCCGTCAAACTCTGCTCCACCGGCGGGCCGTCAGCGTTCAGGAACGGACTCCGCACGGCGACGACGTTACCGAGCGTCCCCGTGCCGCACTACGTCCCGGGGTACGGCCCGACGGCGGGGGTGGCCGCGGTACCGCCCGGACACCATCCCGCCCCGCCTGGCTTCCTCCACCCGCAACAAGCCTCCCTACCCTGCCATCCATGGCTGCTAGCGCGCCACCAAGCCGTCTTCGGACACAGAATGCAAGGTAACCACAATCATCTATACAACCCATTGCTTCTTTCAGTTCAATTCTCGACGCAGCACATACTTAATAGTAGATTTCATCTTGTCTTAGTAATTTGTGAAAACATAATTATCGTTTAAACCAGAGTAAGCGCTATCAGTTTCACTGGATATCTATACATTACTATAAACTATTTCAAGACGGGAAGTATTTACGACCGACCACCTTCAGAGTATAATCATTTTTAACAATCTAGAACAAGTAAGAATGTGTGTCGTACCGGCAGTGTTTTATCGTAGCAGTTATCACACAAGACAGTACAAGACAGTCTAGAAGATTTATTTCTTCAAGAAAAACAAGACATTTTTTGTTACTTGAGACGCTGTTAACTCGGTAGCAGTCATAAATTTTCCTCACTGTTTCTTCAAGACGATGTGTCGATCATTTTAGCTGTTTTTTCAGTACATAAAAACTGTAAGGAAACCTTCTGAGCGGTAGATACGTGGCAGCACGCGTGGTTATTTGTCCGGATTTGTAACGAGGTGATAATGAGAAGAAAATCAAACAATGATCAGCGCTTTCACTTTGTTTGAACTACTTGATTGAACAAAATAAATCCTTCCCAAACACGCCTGTCTGTGAGAGTCGTGTGAGCTGTAGCCATGGATATGCTTCCAAGACGAAAGATTTCGAAAATGCTGCATTTGCTGGACTAGAAATAAGTGTTTAGCAAGAAACGGATATTTCGTGTCGCTTGTCTATAGAAAATGTAACCGTTTTGGATCGGACTTAGCAAATGAATACATACAAAGCTTTGCCGTAAAGTCTTCATTTTCGTATTGAATTTTAGGATAGCTAGATGTTTAACTCTCTTGATAAATGATGGAAAAATATAAAAGAGAACGCACTGTGGTAATTGGAGGTAGATTTCTAATTACGGTCGACTTTTCCAAGACTGGCGTACCTAAAAAAAATACAGCGATATAAGTTTGATATTTATCGTTGGTTGGCAGGATTTTTCAAAGTTGTTTGGATGTGGCTCCTGAAAAATATGATCCCCATTATGAACTTTGACAGCTATTGAATTTGTAACTTGGAAACATGACGCAAGGGAAAAGATACTTTGCACAAATTCCGCCCGGTAGCTCTTTACCGTAGAGTAACACTGAAAAACGAAAAAAAATGATGTTTGTTGTCACAATTTATGATGTCGTAGTTTATGATTTTTGTACGATAAATACAAAATAGATATGAAAGCCTCTGGCGAAGGTCTAAAAGGTGTACATGGCTTCACTCACTCAAGCGTTTGCCCTGTACTAGTATATGATTCAAAACTGATGTATACAAAGCACTGAATCAAAATTATCGAGATACGGTACATGCCTTATTTATATGGGCTTATACGTAAGACGTCTCACGTATATTACAAACTCGACATATGCATACCGGGATCTTCATACTGTCATATTTTCATCAAGAGAAGACATGTTTGCGAAAACCGTATGTCGACTATTTTCCAACAAGCGTTTTCACTCTTTTTGGCGTAGGACTAATCAAGACGAAGAAGTACCAAATTATAGTTGTAACAACTAATATTTTTTCGATGTTTCTTCTTTAATGAAATTTAAAAAACTAGATATAAGAGAAAATAAGAGCAAATACGAAACTATATACAGCAAAGGAAACCTTCAAATGTAAAACAAAGTCTTCGTCAAAGCATCTCACATGTACTATTAGCTTTGATCATACATAATACTTTTTATACCCCAAAACAGTTAAGCTAATTTATGACTGGTTTCGTATTTCGATCCTATTACTTAAACACCTAATCTTGCACAGTTAAGAAAATACGAGCCTACTACTACCACTGTGGAAATGTCAAAGAAGATACAATTTCCTGCTCAAGAAAATAATGAAGTCGTTTTCTCTACGACTTTCTAAGAAGCCACATTATGAAGATGTATTTTTTAAAGAGATACAGTTTCAACTTCCAAGATATCCAGCATAGATATCCAACAACTTGGCTAAATAGCGTCTACAAAGTACTAGTAGTGTGTGTACGAATAGGAGTGAACGAAAAATAACTCGTATGGCTATAGCAGAGCTTCTGCTCCAGAAGAATAAAGCTGTTCTCTCTACGCCTTGCTATATAAGAAGCGACATTATGAAGATGCGGGCTCATTTTTTTCAAGGAGGTACAGTTTCAGTACAGCATAGATATCCAGCAACTTGGCTAAATACTAGTAGGGTAAAGTAGTGTGTGAACGAGTACTCGAGTAGGAGTGTACGAAAATTTACTCTTGTAGTAGAGCCCCCCACGCGGAGGCCATCTGCGCGTTGCTAACATAATATGGAGATGTGGGCTTTAATTTTGAGTAGATACAGCTTCAATGCAGCATAGATATCCAACAACTTGGATAAATAGTGTATACAAAATAGTGTGTGTACGAGTACTGTAGGAGTGGACGAAAATTTACTCTCCTAGCAGAGCGCGTTGCTAAGAAAATGCAGCTTTATGAAGATGCGGGCTTAAATTGTATATTTCTTTTAAAAGTAGATACAGCTTCAATGCAGCATAGATATCCAACAACTTGGCTAAATAGCGTAAAGTAATGTGTGTACGAATACTCGAGTAGGAGTGGACGAAAATTTACTCTTCTAGCAGAGCTTTCAAAGCTTTGCCAAGCTAGAAGAAGCAACATTATGGAGATGCGGGCTTTAATTTTTAGAGTAGATACAGTTTCAAAGTATGCAGCATAGATATCCAGCAACTTGGCTAAATAGGGTAAAGTAATGTGTGTACGAGTACTCGAGTGTACGAAACCCTTCTACTATAAGTAGAAGGGTTAACACTAGAAGTTCTAGCGCTATTGCAGAGCTTCCCACGCCGAAGCCATCTCGGCCAAACCTGGCGCGGCGGAGAAGAGGTAACGGGCGGGAGAAATAATAAACAAGAACTTACCAGGAATGCGAAACATCTTTTGCTCGTTACCGTGTTGACACACTCCCCTGTCTGTGTACATCATCGCTCAATTATGAGGATATTAAGGGGAATATTATGTCAACTTCCCGCTGGGATGTTTATTGTATTCTTACCCAAGCCAGCCTTCGTTTACATGCATCTTCCGCCAACCACTTAGGATACACTTATAATGATTCCCACACGTTCTCAAAAAACATCTAAGATATTCAGCACTCAAACGTAACATTTGCCCTCTGTACGTACTAATACTATAGTTCAAAACCGATACATACAAAGAACTGAATCAAAATTATCTCGATACGTATCTTGAATATATAATCTTCCGCCAACCACTTAGGATACACTTATAATGATTCCCACACGTTCTCAAAAACCATCAAAGATATTCAGCACTCAAAAATTTGCCCTCTGTACGTACGTACTATAGATTCAAACCGATTCATATAAAGAACTGAATCAAAATTATCGCGGTACGAACATCTATATTACTTGTATCTTCTGAGTAGCCTCTATCAGGCTTGGGGAGGCGGCTGGAAAGAGTAGAAATGTTCTCTCAACGGACAAACTCCCTTGGCACGCTTATCTCTCTATTTGGCCGATTTCTACTCTTTCCAGCCGCCTTCCCAAGCCTGGTAGAGGCTATCTTCTGAGACCTCTTGTATATTATAAAAACAAGCCTACTGAGAGCTCTTCTTAGCTTCTGTAACGGTTACTTATCTTGTAACGGTAATATCGAAAGTATGCTATTATACACTATCTATAGCTATTCTAAAAGACAGGTACGGTTATGTTATATGCATGATGTAGTAGGAAATAGCAGTTGTCAGGCGGGGGATGTCATGGGATGTCGGGGGTCAAACCGTTTGACACCGCGCTCTTGGCCGTACCTCCTCGGTACGTCCGAACTGATAAGAATCAGCAAGCCGCGGACAGGAACTGTATACACACGGTCGTAAAGACGGGGGAAACGTTCCCAGTTGGGACGTACTGATTTATTTATTAATCGTGAGAAAGTCTAGTACAAGGGGAAAGAAGTAATCTCCAAGCAGATCTTTTGGTGGCATGCAAGACAGTATCAAAATGGCAAGACAGTATGAAATACGAAAGGCAGTATCCAGTTGAATAAAAAAGTAACCAGTAAAAACAAAAGAAATACGTACACACAAGCCTAGGTCTAAACTTCTGCTTGGAGAGTAGGAAAAGTTCTTGTGGAATCTGATTTGTTCAATAGTTTTCTGAAGAATGTTACGATGTGTTTTTTTTTTTTCAGATCCAGGAAACGGACATCTCCTTCTCGCAAATCCGTTCCGGAAACCGAAGAGAATCCGGACAGCGTTCACCCCGTCACAGCTGCTCCGGTTAGAACACGCCTTCGAGAAGAACCACTACGTAGTCGGGCAGGAGAGGAAGCACCTAGCGCAGTCTCTCAGTCTCACAGAAACACAGGTGGGTTTTAGACGGTCTCACAGAAACAGGTGGATTTTAGACAGTCTCATAGACTGTCTCACAGAAACACAGGTGGGTTTTAGACTCACAGAATCACAGGTGGGTTTTAGACTGTCTCACAGAAACACAGGTGGGTTTTAGACAGTTTCACAGAAACACAGGTGGGTTTTAGACAGTCAGAAACACAGGTGGGTTTTAGATAGTCTCACAGAAACACAGGTGGGTTTTAGACTGTCTCACAGAAACACAGGTGGGTTTTAGACTGTCTCACAGAAACACAGGTGGGTTTTAGACCGTGTCTCACTAGAAACACAGGTGGGTTTTAGACTGTCTCACAGAAACACAGGTGGGTTTTAGACTGTCTCACAGAAACACAGGTGGGTTTTAGACTGTCTCACAGAAACACAGGTGGGTTTTAGACTGTCTCACAGAAACACAGGTGGGTTTTAGACAGTCCCACAGAAACACAGGTGGGTTTTAGACTGTCTCACAGAAACACGGGTGGGTTTTAGACTGTCTCACAGAATTTAGACAGTCTCACAAAAATAGGTGGGTTTTAGACAGTCTCACAGAAACACAGGTGGGTTTTAGACTGTCTCACAGAAACACAGGTGGGTTTTAGCCAGTCTCCCAGAAACACAGGTGGGTTTTAGACTGTCTCACAGAAACACAGGTGGGTTTTAGACCGTCTCACAGAAACACAGGTGGGTTTTAGACTGTCTCACAGAAACACAGGTGGGTTTTAGACTGTCTCACAGAAACACAGGTGGGTTTTAGACAGTCTCTTTCAGTCTCGCTTTAGAGACGTTGACGAATTCAAAAACGTTTCTGGGTTACTCTGGATATTTTCTGGAGCTGTCAATACTTTGAAGAAACAAGCTAGATGAAGCAACAATATATTACAGAGGCATGTCATTCGTATATAGCCAAGAACCTGATACGTAAAAGCTAGGCCCCTTTAGTTTAGAAAGGAAGTACTTTTCTTTCTTCTATTTTTGAAATTTCTCTGCCAGGCAGCAATTTAAAACGTGAGGTAACTCTATGGTTCATACCGACATGTACCCTATAGTCTGGGTGACGCGTACTTGGCATTTCCAAAGCCGTGAATTGGTTCAGTAGGTTATGTCACTACTAGAAGGGACCCACCTGTTCTAAGCCACTGGGCTGTATTTTCAATTTCTAAACACCAAAGTCGTCAGTAGAACGTTTTGTCATCCAGCTATATGTGCAAGCATTGAGTAGAATAGAGTATATGGTTTTAGTATGTGATTTCTGTGAGATTGGGAATGGGGGTGGGGGGCGTATAGAAAGAGGAAGGAGGAGTAACATTTAGTCGTTGTTTTCAGTATGTTGGAGAAAGAAATCAAAACCTGCAAGTTGTGATCTAGTTTCCCTGTTGAAGTTTTCGTAAATAATGCACACTACATTCTGGTGGTTTCTTGAACTGTCAAAGCAAGCTAAAGTGTCCATTTTCCAGGACAACTGACTCTAAACTTGAAATAGCACCTGGACAATTTTGCAATTTCTACTGTCTTTCATAAATTCTTATTTCGAACACATTTGATTGGAGTATTTATTTCCTGTCACACAACTCTGTGTAATTTTGTGGTCATTTGTCCACCAAAGATGTGCCTAGTACTAGTACTAGTAGTACTACTATAGTGCTGGACTGTATTATAGGTACTAGAAAAGAAACACGTAATAAGAACACCAACCTACGAAATGATGCTCTGTTTCTACTTAGGAACTTTATACACTTCCAGTGCACGATACATGTGGTCTGTGTGTATGTGTCAGCACATTACCAAGACTCATAATTAGAGGGTATGCGGAATGACAGGCCACCCTGTTTTCAATTATCAGGCCCAGGGTTTTTCTGATGGACGAAAGGGGAAAAAGGCAGGCCGGATAATATCATCCTCATGTTTATGACATTGTTGATTATTATATTATTTTTCCTAGTGTTTTTTTTTCTCGATATCACATTTTCCAGCCCCCCCCCTTTTTGATTCGTTGTTTATTAGAAGCATTTGACGTAAAATACAGAATGATAGTAAAGTTTGGACTAGCCTGGATGCCAGACCCATAGCACACTGGGCCCGACGTAGTACCCAGTGCATACTAGCATATTACTTTGTGGTATGGGTCTGGGACCAGGTAAAGTTTGGACAAGAACTGTGAAGAGTCCTTGTGATATGGTATTATGAGACAAAAGACCATTATGTAAATGTAACGATAGCCAAAACAAACCTTTGTAGATTCAAAAGAAATCGTTTTTTTTTTTCTAAAAGGTCGTTTCACTTTATTGTGTGTCGTTGCTTCGGAACAGTGAAAACTCGTGTGCCCAAATAAACTGTATGTACGTGTATTTTGCGAATTCTTTGGAATCTTCCAACGGTAGCTCTAGAACCGTGCCCAGGAATGTTGTCTTTTTTTCCCGCGCTGGGAGAGTGGATTATGATTGCACTCATTCCTGCCTGTAATGTAGCATGTTGGAATTTTAATGAACGCACTTATCTGTTCCTGAAACCCTAAAGCTGTCTTTTCCGCACATACTCCACGGCTGTTGTGATCAAAATATAGCGGGGAGCCAAGTATACTTTGTAGATACATTAAACAAAGGATATCCTCCTGGCTAGAGAAATACCAAAGTCAAGTGTGTGGTGATCAAGAAGTTTGACAGACTAGCTTTAAGCGTGTGCACAGTTTAATTGGCAATTCTCAAATAGCGTTATCGTTACAATCTAAAGACAAAAGACGTAAACACCGAGTGTTTTGTAGTGTGTACAAATGATGACATCTCTAAAACCCAGCCTAGCTTGGAGCTAGGTTAGGCCCACCACTTAAATTGCGGTGAACAGTCGCTCTACACTAAATAGAACGATTCTATGTATATATGTTAAAACTCAAACATACATTTTGTAGTATCGGGGTGGGTTTCCTACTACGAATTCTTAGAACATTTCGACGTTCTTTTTTTTTACCTAAACCTTAGCTTTCATCTGAGAGCTTGGTGATGATATAACACTGTGGTGCTTGGTCCCAGTTTCTTTCTTGTGAAAAGTCAAAAGATAGAACAGTTCGACTTTCTATCAAGCTTTTTATACAAAACTTAGCTTCAGAAATTAGTGATGTTGAAGTAAAGCATATAGCTAGAGGCCTTACAGGTGCGTATATATATATATACAGACCCTGTGGTTTCTACCGTCAGACGTTTGACAGCCTCGGTTGAAATGATTGACGATGCGGAATTTAAGCTCACGCCATCTTCATCCAGGTACATTTTCCCCGCACACATGCCTCCCCAATAAACATAACTACGTGTATATTGTATGTAGTTAGTAAATCTCGCATGTGTAGCGCCGTGTTGCTATTTAAATCGGGTCAGCGGACGCTGGCGTGTTCTAGGGCGGACGGAGAGTCACCTTATACCGTGGGAAGGTGTGCGGGGCCCCGCTGGGCCCAACCTGAGGTTCATTAAACATATTGGCACCCTCCCTCGACAGCCACCTCGTGTTGATGGACCCAATACGACTTGCAGGTTTTTTTTCACCACCTCATACACATGCTGCGGCTTGGGAGAACGCCAAACGATGTTTCCACTATTCAGAACCAGTGCGTCGCGATTTCTTCGTCTCAATTCGACTCCCACTTGTTTATAAATCCGTCCTTGGCGGCTGTGTTGTGTTGGGGGCCCTTACACGACCAGCCCGTGACACATTTGTTATCACTTAGGACCCAGTCGTGGGGAAATTACAAAAGGCAGGCTCGGGTTTAACTTGTGCAAGTTAAGGGTGAAATTTAAACTGTCAAATATTCGCGTTTCTGAGTAGGGGCATAATTGGTTGCACGCACGAAGTCTAGTTCCCAGGGCGTAGTGATACCAACTGTTCAAGGTTTAAACATCAACTTTAATCCCTTTACAAGGCTATTAAGGCATAAACTTTGATCGGTATGTAGAATTTGACAGAATGTAGATCACAGATAATGCTCTAAATGGTTTTTTTTTCTGATAAAGTACATATAAACTGGGCGATCAGTTCAATCCATCGCTGCGAAATTCGCATTGAAATTGCTTGCACAAGTGCATTATGCATTCATCGCAAGGGCATATACAACAATGTAGCTTTAGTCTTTTACATATATCTTTCCAACAGAGGCTATGATCGCAACCAAATATTTCACAAATGATTTCGTAGGTAGAGAAAGCTTTTTACGTTTTGTGTGTCTTGGTGTCTTTTAGGCCATACTTTTACATCTTACATCATATTGCAAGTATGAAATCAAAGTTCACACAAATGTACATGCTGATACATATCAATGTAAATGTATGGAGGTGTGGCATGGAAATACCTTATAAATTTCCTTATAAATTGAAGACAAATAGCTTAATCGATTGGATCATTGTTATCAGTTAGTGAAAGAGCCTTCCCGCATCAAGTGACGCATGTAGGGCGGCGCTCATCTCTGTTTTCAACAGCCCTGAGCCACACAGCAGTGCAATCATTGGGGGCTAGTCCACTGGTAGTGGTGTGTGTGTTTAACTCCTATACTCTTTCTCCCAAATGCTGAGTGTCAAGCAGAGAAAGCAGTATGTACTAGCCCGGGTGCCAGACCCATAGCACACTTGCAAGTTATCCTGCTCACTGAGATACTTTGTGTCCAGTGTGCTATGGGTCTGGCATCCAGGCTAAGTATGTACCAATTTTAAAGTCTTTGGTATGACTCGGCCGGGGTTTGAACTCACGACCTACCGAATGCAAGGCGAGAACACTCTGAACCCATTGCACCGGTATTAACTTGCAATGATGACATAGCAGCATCAAAATATAACTTCTGTGTTTTTTTTTTCAGGTAAAGGTGTGGTTCCAGAACCGGAGGACGAAGTACAAGAGGGACCAACAGGAAGAGGAGGGGCGAAAATCACCCCCCAAGCAGAAGGGCGCGCACCACGTCAGCAGGTGGAGGATGGCTACTCAACAGTTCACAGACGAACGGACGGACAGCAAGGAACACACGGACGGACAGAACCTTGAGAAGACGGACAGTTGATGATCTGAAGACGGTCTGAAACTCTTGTGTGTGGTAGCAACATTCCTTGATTCCCCGAACTTTACAGGTGGACCAACCGCGACAACAAGAGTATCAAGAAGTGTTTCAAGTTAAAACTTTTGATCCAACACAAAGAAATCTCTCACCTAGAGCTTTCGACCAGTCACTCTGGTCTTCCTCAGTAGACTGACCCAGTGAAGCTTGTCACGTGGCTTCTTTGAAGTGTGACGTCAACACTGGGTCAAAGGTATCTGGTAGACGATGTCGGCCCCCGTCGCGGTTCAATGAAGGTCAATATCAAGAAGTGTTAGGACATTTTTCAGAGCATAGACAACGCTCTAAGATACAGTACAAATGTGCAAAATGACATCCACAGCAATATAAACTTTTAGTAGACAAGAGGATATACTTACGTTTCTTTAGATGAACGTTTCTTTTCCTTCCTTTGTATATATACATGTTTGAACGCGAAGGTACGTACGAAAAAAAATGGGATACCGAAATGTATATACGTGTATATAATAGAAACTTGTAAATTATTGTCACTAACCGCTTTGTATATAAACGACTTCGGGAAGTTAAGGCGATTTTTTTCTTTGCACCATTTCGAAGAATCTAGAAATAACACAGCATCATTTAGACGACATTAATAAAGTTTAGGTACTAGATCTAGCGTGACGACCAGCTCTCCCAAATATGGAAATGAGGGGCCGACCTATGCAAATGAATGCATGGATGATATCAGGGAATTAGTCAAGCTAATCCACTAATTTATAACCTTGTATTTCATTGGTTGAATCTTCAGGTCATTCCATTTAACCTGTTATGACGGCCAATTGACGACCAGCTTATAGTTGGCAGCTTGAGTGTAAATGCAAAAACTATGCAACAATACAATACACTGTAGTATCTAGACTAAGGAACAAATGTCCGTTCCCGATGATTTCGACCAAGTTTACTTTCCAGAGAAAATGTTACAGAGTCAAACACAATGTTTAGGTCATATTGTACATTCCCAAAACGAATGTTTTAGATGATCATGTGGACATTTTGAAACAAAGTTATCTTTGTTTTATGTAAAAATGGGAATAAATGCGAAAAACTGTACACTATACTTGTGAGTTTGCAAGCTTGTTTCTGTCATCAAGGTACTTTATTTATAGCAATGTATGGTTTGACTTATTTCCATATTCATTCAGCACTTACATCTACGTCAATATATCAGCCTATAATTCATAGCAATATTCTTAGAAATGAATCAGCGTCTTCATACATACGTACATCATAAGGTTGCGATGTTGTGTTACAAAAAAAGGTAAAAAATTACTCTCCAAGCAGAGGTTTGGGTTATTTTTGGCGTGTTTTTAGGCTTTTTTTATCGGGGTTTCTCTTTTGCAATGGTTTGGTGAGAAAAAAATTCTAGTGCAATATAGAAACCCCGATAAAAAAGCCTTAAAAAGGCCAAGAATAACCCCAAACCCAAACCTTAGCTTGGAGAGTAGTAAAAAAATGTTACTTTCAACAAATCGTTGGTCGTTTTCTGGAATGATTTGACATGGCTGCCATCACGCATGTGTAGTGGCGCGTCTGATCGCAGCTAACCTCCGGGTCAAGTTTATAAAAGACTTCCAGGTGTCAGGTGTCAAGAGCGTTTGGATGCCATCAATCACGATCCGTTGGAAGTAATTAGCGGTGACCTACAATAACGGTTATTCATAATTCATGGCCCACATTCGGCACTGGGGGTTGGCTAGCTGGTGATAGTCGTCTGAGAGAGACGAAACAGGCGAGAAAAGTAACCAAAAAAGAAGTTTTCTCTTGTTAGCACAGCAATGCACATGTGCTTTAAATTTAGCCATAGGTATTCATGTTTTAACTTTGAATCGATCATTTGATGGTTTCGATACATCTGAAAACTCTTACTTTAAACAAGACTGCATCAAAAACGGTACTAGGATTAGAAGATATACTTATTCTGTTGAACATAGGAGAAATCGGACCACATGATGTTTTGCTGAGAATTGGCATTTTTTGTTAAATACATGACGCCAGTTTTCTTAATTTACCAGTTCTGTTACATGTAGGTAGTTGGTAGCAGGTGGTTGATAAGTTCAGATGTACATTATATCGGTCGTTAGCACACTAAAGATGGAACTTATGTAGCTAAGTCATGATAATCTAGAGGTAGCTTTCTGCATTCTATATGCGATGATCATAATCTGAGAGTTGTTGAGAGTAGTTATATTTCAGTCCATACCACATGGTATGGATAAAATATATTGTGTTCTCTTATGTTTCTTCTTCTCCTTCTCCTCCTTCTCCTGCCATTCCCAAAAATGGATTCAACTCCGTCATTTTTTAGCCTAATGACTTAAAATTTGGCATGGAGGTAGAGTGGGCCAATACCCCCAGGCGTTTTTTTTCTTCATTTTTTTATACATGCCTTTGAAAAATTTTATGAAGGTTTTTTGGGGGCATTTTTCGACAAAAAAAAGGATTTTTGGATCCTGAGCCCTGGTATTACAACCAAATGATCTGAAATTCGGTATAAGGGTACCTTGAACGTGTGTCTACAGAATAGCAGTCGAATATTTGTATTGCAATTTCCTTCGAAGGATGTTAGACTTCACATCCAAAAATGTGGAATTCAAACTTGACGAGGTGCACTCGAGACAGTTTCATTGAGTCATATTTCAAGCTAAATAAAATGACACTTAGATCGACCTCTCCAGACTTTAAGAAAGACATTTTATGAGCTTGAAAGTGTTAAACAAAAGTAGACGAAAATGTGTTCAAATACAATGTAAAGACATGAAAGTACTTAGTAGGATATGATATTTTGGCTTTCTAACGATTTAAGACAAAATTGTACTCAGAATCGAGCATACATAGTAGGAACTATGTTGTATTTGCCTGTGAAACGTTCTACTAGCCCGTCACATGTATTCTGGCACTTTGGGGACTCCTGGCACATTAAAACCTCCACATCGTTTAAAAAGGAAACACATCCAAACGACATCAAAGGTAGTCTCCCCAACAGGCACACAAAAGAGCAAATGGTGGGGTCACAAAGCACTTAAAACGGCACGACCCACTGTCAACTCTATCCTACTGGGTGACAAATATGATGTATTGTTGGAGATCGGTTCTTTCTCTCGCCCTCTTCGCTCGTGCTAGGATGAGAACAGCCCATGACAGTACGTACCAGACTGTTATCTAGTCCTGTCCCCCCGGTCCGGGCTCTTTTGAAGTCAGGAGTACAGGTCAATGCATCATTCAAGCACAAAGCTCCCCTACTTAAGGTGCTGTGTCGGTCTGAATTACTCCGGTGAATACATTATATGAGGAACACTTTGTATTAGAATGTAGTTTATACAACGAAGAGAGAGCTGAGCTTTATAAACTATTGCAATGTATGTTTCCCCATTCCATACATCTTAGCAACACAGATAAGTTCATATTTCTAATGGCTTTAGACAAACCTTAGATTATAAAACACATCTGTACTTATATCTACATCGTTACTAAGAAGCGAGAAGAAGCCAAATTATCGTAATTATTAAACTATATGTCCATAGTACATAGAATTAGCGCTAGCTTGTACATTGTACATATTCATTGCAAACTGTGACGTCTTTCCTGTGACCTGTACTGAACCCAGTGGGTATTTGCGTACAATAAAGGTCTTCATTCATTCATTCATTCATTGTAACTGTTGCCTTCTACCTCCACTGTGAGTTGGGCAGATCTATCCTTCTATACAAGCTTGCTATGCACGTTATAAGCTAACAAGCACAATGTTCCACAGAGATATCTATACCTTCTATACACACATTAAAAGCTTGCTATTGAAGGGGGTAGGATTTGTGTTATCTAACACTATGTCGTTAGCTATTGTTGTTTTCTTCTACACTGTTTATGTTAAGAATTCAAGTCATTGTGACATAATTTCACCATTGTGTCTTGTCACAATACGTCTGCATATACTTGTTGCATATTTTATATTCAGACATTTTTGGAAATGTTTATCAACAAGTATATAGAGTCATTGACCGAAGAAAAAGAAATAGCTCGTGTGAATGTATCCAAAATAAAATGTTCATTGAAGTTAGATTGCTCACAACTTAACATGAATTTCAACTCCACTTCTTTCGTTTTTATGGATTCACTCTTGTACATCACCAAACACACCCGCGGTTTAGTTATGCATGAATGTTAGTCTAATTGTGTCAAATTGTAAGATTATGAGCAGATACTTTCACGCTTGACTTTTAAATTCAGCATCATAAACTAGTCTGAAATGCCAGATGTTAATTTTACTGTGTGTTCCAACAGAGCTGATGTAGAAAATAACTTGGTGGACATTCTTGTTAGTACATGTATATGAGTAAAAAGTATTGTTTAGATCATCAAAAATTCAAGAAATGCCTTTGGCATCCGTTTCTAAACATGGTTATTGTTATAGCACAACGGTACAAGAGATATTCAACAACGACATTTTTGTTCACGGTGGAAAGAACACATAATAACTTTATGGCGCGACAGTTGTACAGTGTACAAAGTATGGCATCTACTAACTTAGGCAAGTACATGTCAACTACATTTTCATAAGGCTAATCTAATACAAAAGTGGGTGGCTAGTATGAGATAGTATTGTATATCAAGTTATACAATCGTTGGAGGAGTTTCTAATATCTATACAGTCTTTAATATATATATATCTATGTATAGCATGTAGAGGTTGTCACAAGTCAATATGTATTTGAATTTTCTTTCCAAGTTCATTGTAGTGAATGCTGGGAAAGAATCCGATAGTCTAGTGTATAGTGCATCATAAACGACTTTTTCTCCACGTTGATGAAGGTTAAACATATATAGTGAGATACAAAAGAAAACTTACTGTAAACAACTTTCAAAATCTATCCAGTTGCTGCAGTAACAGTTTTCTTCCGGATTTTAAGATATTGAGCACATACGAGTATTCAGGTAAAACGTTATACGGAGGGGGAGGGGGGTTAGTTGCTACTACATATATTCCAAGTAG